AATAGCCCCTGCCGCCGCTGCCCCCTCGCGGTCGAAAGCCCCCGCCGCCGCTGCCCCCTCGCCGTCGAAAGCCCCCACCTCCGGCGATTCTCTACCACCGCTGCCGCCGACTCTCTGGCACCATCGGATGACTTCTCTGGTTCTTCTTGTCGTCATCCCTTCCGTAACCCCTCCTTCGTAGATCTAATCTCTTCCATCCGAGATTTTGACGTCTTGAGGCAAGGCTAAGAGTAACAGAAGCTTTATAGATCTATGAAATCGCTGGTGGGAGGACCGGAGGAGCAGATCTGACCGCCGCGCTCCCAATCATTGGGTGACGGGACAAAGTCAAAATAGGGAGGAAAAGGAATTAAAGAAGAAGAGAGAAGAAGAAGAAAGGAAAAGAATGAAGAAGAGAAGAAAAGAAAGAAAGAACAAGAGAGAAAAAAACGGTGTGGCCTGTGGGTGAATTCAGAAGGGAGAGGAAAAATAAAAAAAAAAAAGAGAGAAGAAGAGAAGGAATGAGTGAGATATGGCGAGGAAGAAAGAAAAAAGAAAAGAAAGAGTGGAGAGTGGGGGCAATTAGGTCTTTTTGCTTGAAAAAGCTAAGGTTTCCAAAAAGGAAATGTTAAGTTTATTTGTGGACGGACGAAAAGGAAAGTGTAAAGTTTATTTGTAGACGGAGGGAGTATATAATTTCTATAATTTTTTAATATACAAATTACAAGATAAAATAGATTAAAGAAGTGTATTGGATGGTGTGCAAAAATGAAAATGGACAAATACTTTGGGACAGAGGGAATAGTTGCTAAGCACGCTCCAATTCAGGGTTTTCAATACTTTGTTTATAAATATAAATATTGAAACTATGCCCAAACAAACGGAACCATGCGGGAGACAGCCCCTTGCATTGGGGTCTAATGGGCAGAGCCCCTAGCCAGGATGGCGGGGTTGAATGTAGAAAGTTTTTAATTTGGTAAGTAGTTTTCTTATGATGATTCATTACATCTTGAAATATTCGGATCGGAGAAGACACTGTGTATTCAAGTCCTAAAAATAAGTATTTCCCGTTCTTAAATTTTCAAATAAATTGAATTAAAAATAAAGTCGGTCAAATCTTATAAACACAAACAGGATAAACATTTTAAGACAGAGAGTATTTGATTACTTAACGTCAAGTGAATTTGACACACTTATATTCTTGTGAAAAATTTGGGTCGCCCTAGTATTTGAATACTTTGGGGTGACAAAGCTACAACAATTCAACTTTTGTAAATAATAGTTGTCACACACACATTTTTCTGTGACCACGCTATAATAACTCAAGTGCTAATTCAATTCTATAGAATTTCACGTTTAAAGATTACAAAACACCATTATTTACGCACAATATATCTAAACACCCTTCTCACTTAAGAGATTATTCATCCAAAAATATTTTGAAAAACTAATTTTGTATACCCCACCAAATTTACGTCCAAAGTTGTCTTGTTAGGCTGTTACAAGCCAAAAAATCCAAACATTTCCATCCTAAGAGATTAAACTACCCGGAGTATAGTCGTATAGAGCTGCAGCCCTACAAAGAGGGCAGTTTTGTTTAATGGCGAACCAATCAGAGATGCACTTCGCATGAAACTTGTGGCCGCAGCCTTGGAGAACCGACGATGCGCCGCCATTATCATCCTTAAACTCCCCGAAGCAGATAGAGCACTTGTTGTCTCCCACCCTTATGCTCCCTTCCCTGAAGTTGTATATGTCCACCCTCCAAGCTTCGCGTGGCGGCGGTGTAACTGGCTGCCGGGGCTGTTCTCGCCTCGGTTCGTGGACGACGTTGGCGGTGTCGGGATCTTGCCGCGGCGGCGGCGAAAACAGATCTCCCTAACTAAGTAGTACAAAAGAAATAAAAGGAATAATCCCAGTAACCCGTGGATTAAGACCTCCGAATAAATATGAAAATCCATATTCGTTTTCCTCTGAAAAAATCGATGGATATTACGTTTAGTGTGGGATGTGTAAATAGGGTTTAGTTCTGCGATGGGGATAAATTAATAAACACTCCGTAAATAAAAAGCAAATCCGAGGAGTGGTAGGATACGTTATACTAGAAATATATGATTGGGGAACCATTAGTCCGATTTCATCTCAAACAAACAAACTTAGTTTTATATGTTCATATATATAGAATATGTGATACCTGTTATGCCACTCAAAACTCAAAATGTGTAAAACTTAATCTAAATCCAACGACATTCCAGTCTCTCGACTCTCTCTCTCTCATTCTTCCACTCTTTCGCCGTTTGCTGATTTTAGGTGTCGACTCAATCAAAATAGAACTACGCAGTATGTACCCTTATTATATCATTAACACTATATCACTAATTAATACTCCGTACAATACATACATTTGTTGACTTGCCCGTGTCAATATTATTAACACTATTAGCATGAAATCTATCATTAACATTATTAGTTTAAGGCTATTGATATCGGTGCTCCAAATAAATTACTATCTACAATCTACTTTTTTGTTTTGAGTTGGCAATTGACATGATTCAAACAATAAAAGTGGAGTATATATAGTAATTTGTGAAGTGTGAATATCAATAGACTCAATTTAATACGGAGTATCATAGAGGAATTCTAAGAAGATTGTACTCCACGAGTCCTTGTTCTATATGCAGATTTGAGAAGTTTTGAAGCGAGGGAGGATGAATTGCTATAGATTCCATTTTTGGTTTCATTGATCTTGTAGCATCATTCAATTAAGTCTTGTTTATGAGAAATTATTAAGAATATTTTGGTGCAAATATCACCTTAATAAAATATATAAGGTATAGTATATCAATTATACATTAAAGTACCATAATGTTTCAAAAAGAGTAATACTCCCATAATATTACTAATAATTTTAATTATCAAACGATTAATAGTTTGAAATTCAACTGGGATCGATGTTATCGTTGAACAATCACCAATTAGAAAGTATCTTTTGTTAGTAACTCGTCTTTTTTTAGCCAATATAAAGTCATTACTTGCCTAGTGATCAACAACTTCAAGTTGGTTCTAAAAAACATTTTAAGTTAAGTGAGCATATCATAATTTGTACTAATATTAATCATGCAGGAACCAAACCAATCCAAACATAAGAGGGCTTATAATTTTGTGACATTATATTGTTCACCATTAACATTTTACTTAGAATACAAAATCTGTATGTCCACATGATCAAGACCATACTTATTCACCGTCATATTCTTTGGCATCCGTTTGTGATTAAAATCTAATTTATCTCGTTTTAGGTGATTGTTCAGTTAATTCTAAAGAGCTCACAGAGGTGAGATTCATCTTTTTTACCTATAAATAAAATTGTTTTAAAAATATGATTGTATATCTAAACACATTCACCAACAACCATCAACCACAATCTCAACCAAATTTATGTAGAATTAACTCTTTTTATTTACTCAAAAAATACTTTTTTTTGTTAAATAGGGAGTAAGAAACAAACAAATTTGTACCAAAAAAATATTGACAAGGTGAGTGGTTCAAGAATATTCACTTGGAAGAAATAATTGGCATCTACATCATGGTCCATTCTTCCCCAACCCCCACCCCACCCCACCCCTACCCCACACCCCATGTGTGACAGCTTCTCAAGTACACAAACACTTACCTTCCACAACTCTTTTAGTTTTGGGTTTAGGACCAAAGGTTAGAAACAATGGCTGCCACATTTTCCTATTCCCATTTTACCCTCCTCTCCTACCTCCTCCTCTTATCTGCTTCCCATTCCCCTGTTCTCTCCATTGACATCACCCCTCTTCTCTCCCCCTACCCTGACCTCGCCGACTTCTCCGACCTCATCACCACCACCTCCGTCGCCGCAGATCTCATCGGCCGGAGCTCCATCACTGTCCTCGCCCTGCCTAACGCCGTCCTCCGCCACTCCGATCTGGCCCACTCCCACGTTTCCTCCGAATTCTCCCCTCTCTATACCGGCGACGTCATTCGCTACCACATCCTCCTCGAGTACCTCTCCTTGACGGACCTCCTCCGCGGCCCGCCCGGCGTGAGGACCGTAACCACTCTGTTTCAGGCCACCGGCCGGTCAACTGGGAATTTCGGGTATGTTAACTTCAAGCGCAATTCCGGCTCTAAGACCGTCACCGTCGCATCTCCGGCGGGCAACGCAACCGTGGTGTCTCAAATCAAATCTCTCCCGTACAATATCTCTATATTGACCGTGAATTCGCTTCTCGTCCCTTACGGATTCGATCTGAAGGATTTCGGCGCTCGGCCCTCGCCGGGGATAAACATCACCCAGGTCCTAATTGACGCCGGTAACTTCAACGTCGTGGCGTGGATGCTCAGCGCTTCCGGCGTCGAAGCGGAATTCGAACGGAAAGAAGGCGGAGCCGGCATCACAATGCTCTTACCGACGGATCAGGCATTCTCAGATCTGGCCGCATCTTACCGACTGAAACTCCAATCACTCTCGGCGGAGCAGAAAGCCGACGTCCTCCGATTTCACATTCTGCTCTCGTATTACCCGCTAGGGTCGCTGGAGAGGGTCGTGAACCCGATTGAGCCCACCATGGCTACGGATCTGAGAGGAGCCGGTAGATTTACCCTGTACATCTCCAAGGTCAACGGATCTGTGTCGATCGACACCGGAATCGTGCAGACGTCGGTGATCCGAACGGTGATCGAACAGAACCCGGTCGCGATCTTCGGAGTCTCTAAGGTATTACTGCCGGTGGAATTCTTCTCGAAGACGCCGATTGAAGCTGACAAACCCGGCGCCGGTTTTTCAGGCACCGTCGTCCCGCCGCCGGAAGTTTCTCCACCGCCGAAAAATGTTCCCGGAGTGTTCCTTTCACCAGAAAAATTATCATCGCCGTCGGGACTCGCGCAGAACGCCTCGTCGGCGGCTAGCAAACGAGGAGTAGTAAAATTACTGGGTCTGTGGTGTATAGCGTTTCACCTACTGTTGTGTCGGTAAAATTTTATTACTGCGGTCTGGTAAGGTAAGGAGTGTAATTATTTCCATTGACATCGTAGCAGCTCTAGCCAAGTTACTGCAATTCTCCTCTTGAGAAGAAAGAAAGATTAAAGACAAAAAATGTGGTTATGCATAGGGGTGGGCATTCGGGTCTAGGAACCGTGAGTCGGAACCGAACCACCAGGTTCGGGCCGAGTTAGGTCTGGGTCGTCTTTTCAAAAATTTAAAACGGTCCGGGTCGGTCCGGTTCCTATAGATTTTAGGGTCGGTCCGGTTCCCCATTTTGAAATTGTTTGAGACCCGGACCGGACCGTTTTGTAAATATGAATATTATTTTTAATATTTTTTTAGTAAATATACGGTATACCCGCCTATTCCAATTAATTTTAGTAACTCTTTCGGTCCTTCTATATTCAAATCGCAGACAGAAGTGCAGGACCTCTTTGTCAGTCATAAGAATAATTTCTTTATCTTTTCATCATATTTTTGTATTCAATTACACACAAATCTTTAAATCCATGGATATTATCACATTTGATGTCTTCATTATCTTAAGATTGTTAGAACTATTCGTATCTATGGCTATATATAATGCCAAAATGTGGTTATCAAAATGTGGTTGTCTTCTTTTTGTTGTTGTTGGATGATCATGGGGTGTACACTTTACTTTCATGCCCCTCTTTTTCATTGTTTTTCTCATTTATTCCTCTTTTTTGAACTTTGAAGGCATTATTCTATAATTTCTATTTATTTTGAAGAATGTTAGTATTATGATAGATTCGGACCCGTTGACCCGAGGAATCGGCCCGTTTCAAACAAGCCGGGTTAGGTCCGTTTCCAATTTTAAAATTTTGAAAACCCGTTCCGGCCCGGACCGTTTTAATAAAAAACAAGCCTAGTCCGATTTATATAAATTTGGGCTCGGACCGGCCCGTGCCCACCCCTAGTTATGCTCTCTATATCATGCGTTTTTTGTAGTGAAATTTGCATTAAATAAGACTAAACAATAATTCTAATAGGAAGAAATAATGTCCAGTGATGGTGAATATTTACTTGAATAATAACTAAGTAAACTAACAGGTAATGCTCAATGGGAAATAAAAATATAAAATCATATATTAAAAAAATTATTATGTTTTAGTTTTATTTAAGTAAATTACCCTTTATATAAGCATTTTTGATACATTAGACTTGAGAGGGTATTTGGAAATGTGGTAGATTGTTAAAAAAAAGGTTTTAAGAAGAAGTGGAAAGTAGATACATTTAACTCTTCTTAAAAATACTTCTAGAGCCCATTTTAAAATGTGAAAGTCATACTACCTCCGTTCACTCTTTTTGTCCAGTTTTGACTTTTGGAACTGTTCTTCTAAGCACTTTGACTCATCAAATTCTCTCATTGTGTAAATCTAAAAATAGTCATGTGTGATCTTGTTTGATTTTTCTTAACATATAGATTATTAATATATAATTTTTATAATTTTTTAATATACAAATTACAAGATAAAATGGAATAAAGAAGTGCATTGATGGTGTGCAAAAATGAAAGTAGACAAAAAGAGTGGGACGAAGGAAGTAATCTATAAGCAGAATTAGAATGCTAAACGCCCAAACACAATAAATATTATTTTATTGAAGTAAAAGCTCTACTGATGGTGTAAATTACCACGCAAATACAAAGTAAAGGTAGTCGGAAGGGCTGTAGGTGGAAACACCTGTAACCCGGTTTGTTATTGATAATGCTAGGACTATTACAAAGTACAAGCCGTGTAGGTTAATTCAAAACATGCCTCACAAATGAGGATTTTAGGGGTATTTATAACATAATTAAGCACGTCAAGCACGTCTCTGGTTATCCAACCGGTCATTTGTCTGACCGGTTGCATAAGAGTACTTCGAGAATCTTATCTGCACCTATCGTGCGACCCAAATCATCCAACCAACCGGTCTCACGACCCGGTCTGGGAAGGATACGTTCCGTTACCTCGATCACCACCCAGTCGGACGAACCAACCGGGTGGTATCCATGGGTTTTTACCCATCAAGTAGTTTTCAAATACAACTTCAAACGCTAATCATAATTTATTCGACTAAAAAATAAACACTTTTTTTTAATTAGTTTTATCATAATCGACATCAGGGTACTTATAACACATTCAAGGTATTTTCTTTATTTTGTAATTAATTACCAACTCATAGTTATTAATAATATAGTCACCATCTAAAATTTTATGTATTTAGTTTAGTTGGCATCCTGTAGTATTGTTGCAAAATTGAGTAATTTCTGAAAGGAGTGTAAATTATTGAGTTTCAGAGTTTTAACGTAGAATTATTAATTTTATTGGAGTATTCATGTGAACTTTTCCAAAATAAATATGACTTACTTATGTTTCAGCTTGTAAGTAGCTTATCAATCAGCCTATAAGCATATAAAAGTATGTCATCAGCTGACTTCTGAGTTAAAAATTATTTTAAGTAATTATGATCAACTTATAAGCACAACAAATACTAACTAAATAAGAATAAATGCAAATCATAGACATATGACTTAATATAATATGATGCAAAATAATAGGACGTACAAAAATAATAAACAAAAAAAATAGTGAGACACACAAAAAGTATAAATTGAAAGTGAACTGCTAAAAATAGGGGTGGGCACGGGCCGGTCCGAGCCAAGTTTTGTATAAAACAGACTCGACTTGCTTTTATTAAAAAGAAAACCCCCTAAATAAGAGTAAAACTTGGATCATATCCTCAAAGTAGGAGTTCAAACTTAAACTCCCCTAAATAGGAGTGATTAATTAAATATGTGTTCTGCCTAATTCTGGCCGCATAAACCAAGTTAGGAAGAAATCATACTTCAATCGATCTTGAAGAGCACTGAGAGCAACATAGAAAGGGGATTCCGAGATTGATGTATCACCATCAAATATTTTTCCTTGACATATGTGTCCAAAAACATTATAACAATAATTAAACACAAATTAGCTACCATAAATTTGGAGGAAATGGGAGAAAAATTCTCGGCACTGTGCAAAAGGTCAAAAAAACCATTATACATTAAATGATGTCAAGGGGAGAAGTTTTGTGTTAAAAAATGTAATATATCATACTGTAAGGTTGGACTCCCAATAATCATTAAACAAAACTAATGGCAAATAGTAGAGTTACTTGACATTTATCCCTTTTTGACATCATGCATTAACATTTGTGATATATAACATTATACATTGACTCATCTTTTATTGTACATTATGAAGAATGACATTATACAATGTCAAGGTTGACATTATCAATTTAATTTGTTTTGCATTATGCATTGACATGTATGACTTTATACATTGACATGATTGTCATTATATGATTACATGTGACATTTAACGTGAGCTTTTTTTACACTGTATAGACATTTAATGTAGTAATTTACTACGATTCTATATATAATACTCCGTATGTAGGGTATTGATTCATTTTTGTTGATGAAGTTTTGGGTGTGTTTTGTTATTGAATTAGTTTTGTTTACATTCAAATTTATTATTTTTTTGTCGATTCACCTTTGTTAATGATTGAATAACAATTTACTGTAAATCAAGATGACCAAACAAGAGTTGCAGTATGGAAAGTTTTTCTTTAATAATCATACGATTGATTTGGCAGCAGCTTATGGAACTACTTGTTAAAGTAAGGGCAATGTCCACATGGTCATTATGTTACAACATTAGAACCATGCTACATTTACACCAACAAATATACCCCATTTATACACCACAGCAGGGCCGGTCCCGAGAATTCAAGTGCCTGGGCCGAGACCGAAAAAATGGCCCTAAAGGCCACCTAATAAATTAAAGTATATAAATTAATGATATTAAAATGACAATTTACGTAATAGTATTATAACAAAATAAATAAATGAAAAAATCATACTCCCTCCGGTTTTAAAAACCTTTCTTATTTTGATTTTTTAGTCAAACAATTACACTTTTTGACCACAAATTAAATATAATCTAAATAAATAAATGATACTCCCTCTGTCCACCATAGATCTTCCCGGACACTATTCACAGGGTCAAACTTTACTCACTTTGTTTGCTCAATTTTACTAGTCATTTCATAAAATAATATAGTCTTGTCACCTCTAGTTTTATAGAACTTATCATGTAGTTTATTACTATATAAATTTTATTTTAAAATTTTACTCCTATAATCAATTAAATTGAATTGGAAAAAAAGTCGGTCAAGCCTCGTAACGCGTAATGAGAAGATCATACATAGACGGAGGGAGTATAAAAATTTGATATATCAAAATTATATACTAAAATGGACCAAATTATATTCAATTTATATTAAAATTAAGTATATTTTTCTCATAACTTATAGTCAAAATATGTCACTGTTTGATCAAAAAATTCAAAAATAGGAAAGGTTTTAAGGACTAGAGGAGCAAATAAAAAAATCATATCAAATGAAGAACATGTTGAAGCATAAATTCATACATAACAAAGATTATTAATTAACAAAATAACAATTAACAATTGACCCTAAATTTATAAATATACTAAAATGAAGAATGAATATGAAACAAGTGCCAAAACCTCAGTCATAATATGAACTACATCCATGATTAACATTTTTTTTCATTACATATACTCCGTATGAGCAAGTGCACTCATACATGGAGAATCACGGATCATAAAGAAGTCAAAAGGATCAGATCCAATCCAATACTCCTTGATGGGTTAGTTTCCAGACAAATGATTAGCATAAAGATATTGTCTTTATTTACAAAATAGCAAAAAAGTGACAGTATAAGGAAGCTTTTCATCTGAAAAATTAATAATAAAAAATAAAAACAAACAAGCGTGTTCTTTCTAGCCAATATCAAACAAAACAGAAAAAACTAATAAACATAAAAATGCGCATTAAAAAGAATGTTAATAAAAGATTGAGATGAAACGGGAACATACTACTCAAAAACTTGGAGACGAAGGCGGAAGGTTAGATGGAATCTGAGAGATGCGCTAGCGTGAATGGCCGAAATCTCAATTTTGGGATTGAGACACAATTTCAGTGGCGTGGATTGGAGACGCAAGAGGACGGCCGAATCTACCACTCTGAGAGTCGGACGCTTGAAATTCTGGAATTGAACCGCTGGATGCAAGACAAAGGCAGTCCTGGAATGCTAGAGTCTGGACTTGGAGTACTGGTTAG